AATAAATTCAAATTATTGTAGTTATTTTATTGAATGGAATTATAATTAATAAATATTTATAGTGCCGGATCAAAGTATTGGCACAGAGAATTTTTCGCAATGTATGCAAAGTTTTTTACTTGAATTCCTTCTCGCACATTTTGTTTTTTTAATATAGTTAGTATGAAGACCTACTTTCAAATCAGATTTTTGAGAAAAATTCTAAGTATGCAGTTTTATATCCCATTATATTTTAGTATAACATAGTGCAAGCTTGAAGTTTCCAGAAAACCGCTTTGATTTTTGGCAATTTTTTCACGCAGTTTCTTCCATGCAAATTATGTGCGACATTTTTTTTTTGTATGGAAGAAACTGCGTATAAAAAATTGTCAAATAACAAAGAGGTTTTCTAGCTATTAAAGCATGCACTTTATTATACTAAAACTAAATGGGCTATAAAACTGCATACTTAGAATTTTTCTAACAAATCTGATTTGAAAGTAGAACTTCATACTAACTATATTTTTATAAAAAACAATTAGAGAATCAGAATAAAAAACTTTGCATTCATGGCGAAAAATTCTCTGTGCCAATATTTTTTCCCGGCACGGTATATGTCAAGATATTTTCAGACAAATAAATATTAAAAAACTATCTATTAACAAATTAACAGTTAAATAAGAGGGGTTTAATATATATTATAAAGTAGCTGAATTTATTTTTTATCTTTTTTGCCGATAGGCTGCAAATTTTTTTTGCCGGTCGTGTGCATATTGGAAGTGCTTCTTTGAAACGGAAATAAAAACTTTTTCGTCGGAGTTAAATTTTTGACGAAAAGCACCTAAGAAAATAAAATGAAAGATTAAACTCCATTGGAAATCGGAAAATTTAATTAAGGTAAAAGTGGTAAAAAATATTAATATCCGTACTTCTTATTGCCGCAGTCGTTGCCAAACCAATAGCTCTGCTTTTGGTACCAGTTCCCTTCCACGAGAAAAGTTCTGCTACCTCATCTCTAATAATTTTCCACCAGCACGTTCTTAAATATTTATCTACATTTAAAATATTTAAATCCTTTAGTGTTGCTCCGCGCAGCCTGTGAAAGAATTGCAAAACTCGTTAAATTAATTTGTATTTTTGAATTACATATGTAGTAGCTACTTACAAGAAGTTTAATTATAAAAGAAAGTGGTAGATCGTCCTTTGCATTTGCACTAGTCTGCCAATAAATTACATACTTAATAATTTACTTAAATTGAATATTTAACAAACTACTTACTTATAAAATATTGTGATTGAAGAAAAATTGTCAACAAAACTAAAATTTTTTCTTGTGCTGACAAATTACTACAAGCCTCTTTCTATTATATTTTTTTGTTTTATCGTTTACGAGCTTTTCTCTAACTTTTTGGCGATACGAGAATCCCTCGTAAAACATAATGTTCGTAAAATGTACGTTTTCTTGCTGGCTGGGAGGATTATCGATTGTAAGTATATTGAAAATCGGAACGTCCGAACGCTTCAAATAACTTTTGTTCATATTATTCTATGTAGGTACTGTTACTCACAAAATTGAGTATATGGTATTTTGTTAGTACATACATAAGTGTTTGCAAAATTTTTTTGTTAATTTGGTATTAAAATATGTCATATATTTTAGCAAATCCCATTTAAATCCAAGTATGAAGCTGTGTACGAAAATTATGAAAAATCTGCAAAGTTTCAGCAAAATTGCAACTTTTTTAATAAGAATTAAAAAAAAAATCAGGTATGTATGTAGTTTTATAGTCCATTCAGTTTTAGTATAATAATGGGCAAATTTTAAACGTCTAAAAGTTCGCGATGATTTTTAAGAATTTTTTATACATTTGAAATTTGCACAATATTGTACTAAAACTGAATGGACTATACAACTGCATACCTAATTTTGTTTTAGAAGTTCGTGTTAAAAAGTTTGCTTTGCAGATCTTTCATAATTTTTGTACGCAGCTTCATACTTGGATTTAAATGGGATTTGCTAAAATATAAGCCATATTTCAACACAAAACAAAAATAAAAAGAAAATTAAGCATTGCGAATATTAACAAAAACAAACCGTATACTCAATTTTGTGAGTAACAGTATATAGATATAGTACATATCGCCGCCTCCGAACCATACTGTGCTATGTTAGCTTAGACTTGGTCAGACTTAGCACAGTGTGGTTTGAAGGCGTCGATTCGTAAGTCTGCTTGTACGAAGAAATGACTTCAACGAACGTTAAATAAGGCCTTCATATAGATGTAGATTTATTTCCAAAAAAAAAACCCATATTTACATTAAATAAACGAGTGTGTTTAAATTCTTAAACAAAAAATTTTATCCATTGGAAAAAATCGGGGTATAAGTTAAGAATCGGAACATTGTAAAAACTAAAAAAAATAGGTATAAGTGTTGATAGAGGTTTTTGAGACAAATAAAACAGTATTATTTTTTTGAGGCAGAAACAACCACTAAGGCAGTTATGAAAGGTCAAAGGTCAAATGGAGCGCTTTTTTAAATCCAAATATCTCGAAAACCATCGCACGGATTCTAAAAATTGTGATGTCATTAAATAAGAAATGTTAGTCGCTTTAATTACATATACAAACGTTATATATAACTTCTTAAGTTTAAGCAAAAATCCAATTTATGTAAAAAAAAATTACAAAAAAATTTTAAACAAACACATTTTTCTTTAAAAAGTGCCGCATTAATTCAGTTAAAAAACTTATTAGTAAATAGCGCACAATTCAAGCTTTCGTTTTATATACAACATGTTGTGTTTAATCCTCGCAAATCATTGTATTTAAAAAAATAACTCTGGTCGAACCAATGCCAGCTACGCTATCCACAGTATTTTTGCGCAAACCCCTTTTTCTTAGTAAGGGTTATAATCCTTAGTAAGGTTATAATCCCTAAGCGCGGCCGAAGGCCGCCAACGCAGGTGTTCTGTGCAAAAAGGTGTTGCGCCCCTCTTCTTCGGCAACACAGAAAGGAGAATCCTACTTATTGAGGGTTATAATCCCTAAGCGCGGCCGAAGACCGCCAACGCAGGTGTTCTGTGCGAAAAGGTGTTGCGCCCCTCTTCTTCGGCAACACAGAACGGAGAATTCTACTTAGTGTGGGTTATAACCCCTAAGCGCGGCCGAAGGCCGCCAACACAGAAGGTGTTCTGTGCAAAAGGTGTTGCGCCCCTCTTCTTTGGCAACACAGAAAGGGGAATTCTGCTTAGTAAGGGTTACAATCCCTAAGCGCGGCCGAAGGCCGCCAACGCAGAAGGTGTTCTGTGCAAAAGGTGTTGCGCCCCTCTTCTTCTGCAACACAGAAAGGAGAATACTACTTAGTGAGGGTTATAATCCGTAAGCGCGCCCGAGGCCGCCTATCCAATAAAAGGTTTTGCGCAAAAATACTGTGGATAGCGTAGCTGGCATTGGTCCGACCAGGGTTATTTTTTGAAACACTCCTATTTGCGAGGATTAAACACAATATGTTGTATATCAAACGAAAGCTTGAGGTGTGCACTATTTATTATAAGACTTTTAACTGTAGTTAATACGGCACTTTTAAAGAAAATTGTGTTTGTTTAAAATTGTTTGTAATCTTTTTACATAAATTGGATTTTTGCTAAAACTTAAGAAGTTATATGTGTAGGGTATTTTACCTGTACGTTTTTATACTTGTTTAAATTCTTGATGTGCAATTTATGGTTCAATGAATTTGTTTCTTATCAAAAAGAAAATTTTTGATTATTCAATAATAAACTTTCAACATATAAAAACTTAAAATTTAAACCAAATATATTTTCTTATTAAAATATCATATAATTGATATAATATGTAACATTTATATATGTGATTAAAGCCACTCACATTTCCTATTTAATGACATCAAAATTTTTAGAATACGTGCGATGGGTTTCGAGATACATATATGGATTTGAAAAAAGCGCTACATTTGACCTCTGTGTTGCCGAAGAAAAGGGGCTGAACAACTTTCTGCGTAAGCGGCCTTCGGCCGCGCTAAGGGATTATAACCCTCACCAAGTAGAATTCTCCTTTCTGTTTTGCTAAAGAACACCTTTTGCAGAGATATTTCGTGGAGTTTTTTTACAGCTCAAATCATCAGTCATCTTCGTCATCCATTTTGTGAACGTCCGAACGGGAACTTTTAATCGCTATTCACTTACCATATAACATTTGTGGAAACCTTTTTATTATTGATCATGATCCCACTACATTCTAATTCTAATTCTAAAAATCTAATGGGTCCATGGGTATTGATGATGACTACTCATGACGAAAAATTTGTGTTCATTCAGAGCCTACTACAGTTTTTATAATGAAGTGTCTCCAAACGGAACGTCCGCAACGCAGGAAACACCATATGTAATGCCTTTGACTTACCAATAATAAAGTTAATATATAAATTTTTTTTATTGTTTCCTCTGTGATTACACATATCACTTTATTTTTATGTATTCAACAAGATTTACGATTCAATAACTTTAGTTGAATGTACATACATACATAAACGTAGCTTTAAAAGTTTAATAAATCTGCAATAGAACAATCTAGTAGAAGCGAAACAAGATGATAAAATTGTATTTAAGCATTTCATTCGTACATACGTAGAGAACAATGCGCTGGGGTGCAACAAAACTTCTATATATTTCTAAATAATCTCTTTTTAGCTTGTGTAAAATGCCAAATTTCTCTCATGGAAGTGAGCTTTTGTGCCGGCATAATGAATTCTTATATAGATTCATTGCTTTTCTGTATATGTATGTACCTTTTTTGCCATTTCTGTATGCATATATATTTCATGTTACATAATATTAACTACGTGCTAAAGTAAGATAATCGGAACAATTTAAGTGAAATGTGATAATATATGTATGTTTACAATATTTGTAATGCTAACAGTGCCCGTTCTTCTATTCTCTCTATCCGATTATAAGTTTCTGCTTTACAATGCTTTTAACCAGGAAAAATTCATATTCATAACTTTTTACTTAAGTCATTTATTACAGATAATTTTGGTTGATGTTTCTTCCGAAAATTAGATCTTATTGTATTATACACATTTGACTTTATTTTGTAAGTATTGAAGCAGTAAATGTTGTTCCTGTTCGGTTTTGAGGTCGTCCATTGGATTTAAATGATTCATGTGTTGAAGGTATTTTTAAATCCAAATGGGCACTACTTCTCTGTCTTGTGTTGCTCTCTTATCCAATTTAATCCTTGCTCTGCATGTATTTAATCAGATCAACGACACGGTTGGAATATCCAAATTCGTTATCGTACCATGAGATTAACTTCACGAATTGGTCGTTGAGAGGGATACCAGCCTTGGCGTCGAAAACCGACGAATGTGTGTCACTGACGAAGTCGGTAGACACGACTTCTTCATCGGTATAGTCTAAGATTCCCTTCATTGGGCCTTCAGAGGCTTCCTTTACCTTTTGCTTGATTTGATCATAGGTGGCTGGCTTGCCCAATCGCACAGTCAAGTCAACAACTGAGACGTTGGGAGTGGGGACCCGGAAAGCCATACCAGTCAGCTTGCCATTCAGTTCTGGGATAACTTTGCCAACAGCCTTAGCGGCGCCAGTAGATGCAGGAATGATGTTCTGAGCGGCACCACGTCCATCGCGCCACAATTTGCCTGAAGGACCGTCGACGGTCTTCTGTGTGGCAGTTGTAGCGTGTACAGTGGTCATCAAACCCTCCACGATTTGGAAGTTGTCATTTATAACTTTAGCCAATGGAGCCAAGCAGTTGGTTGTGCAAGAGGCATTAGATACGACCTTCATGTCGGGGCTGTATGCGTCCAAGTTGACGCCGCACACGAACATTGGCGCATCGGCAGACGGTGCCGAAATAATGACTTTCTTGGCACCACCCTTGAAGTGAGCAGATGCCTTATCGATGGTAGTGAAAACGCCAGTGGACTCGACGACGTATTCAGCTCCAGCGCTAGCCCAGTTAATGTTGGCTGGGTCGCGTTCGCTAAAAACAGTGATCTTTTGTCCATTTACTACCAGAGCTCCATTTTCAGCAGAAACAGTGCCCTTGAAACGACCATGAGTCGAATCGAATTTGAACAAGTAAACCATGTAGTTCACATCGATAAATGGATCGTTTACAGCAACCACTTGAGCACCTTTATCGACGGCAGCACGCAGCACCAGACGACCGATGCGACCGAATCCATTAATACCGATTTTGGACATTTTTCACTTTATACTTGGCTTAATGATTTCGAATAAATATTTTATGAAAAGAACTACCGTTCAGTTCACTTGCAAAGAGACAACTGAGAAAGAAAAAGTTCCCGCTACAAAGCTCCACCAGAGAAGTTGAAAGCCGGCTAGCCCAATGTCAGTTGAAGGGCATTCGAGTTCATCCACGAAGATTTGCAAATTTGCTGCGCTGGAGATTCGTCACCCATTTATAACAACCATTGGTTAGAAGAACACGACTAATGTGTTATACGAAAAGCTTTCAGAATAGGGTTGCCTAAATTCCATATTTATTGGTGTGTATATAATAAAGAGCGAAATACACCATAAAGGCGGCTTCACAAGCCAACTACTACATCTATATGTACGTAAAGAGCGCAATACACCACATAAGCGGCTTGTCAAACACATCTACTTGAAACCAAGGGATATTAAACAGCAGCAGGCCTGCAGTTTTAATTTTTTTCTATTTCGTGAAAAATTTTAAGTGTCAAACTTTGCTACATTCATATACAAATTCACATGCACATACATTAGCATATTTTTGCTTGCTTTTGATTGATCCAGCATGCCTACATTTCTTTCTGTTTTGACATTCTAGGTTTCTCAAGCAACAGCCATTAGCTCTTTAATATGCCTTGCTTCAAGCAAACAGGACTCGTTGAAGCCAAGAATTTTAGTTTTCTTCCGGTTCACAATGTAAAGATTATGCTTTTCTTCCATTTACCTCCCTAACGTTCTCACTCGGAAAAAATTCCATTGCAAATGAGGCGAATTTATCATTCACAACGCAAGCGGTTTGATCAAAATGAGCATGGCGGCCAGGAAATCAAAAAAATTTTGTTTTTGTTCATATTTCCCTCAAACAGCTTGTAAAACCTTCAAACACCACCTACACAACACAAATAGCTTGAAGCAAAGGGATATTTCGCTAGGTTTGTCAAGCCGCTTGTGTTGTGTATTTCGCTATGGCCGTGGTTATGCCACCAATTTTAATTGGCAATCAAAAGAGAAAAAATTCGGTGATTGGTGAGAAGTGGTTACGCTTTGTTTGCTGTTTGGCGAGCACAGGGTTGCTTCTTTAGAAATGCCTTTTCCATTTGATACAATTTCGCACACAATGGCAGAACTGAAGTAGAAATGCAACTAAAAATGCATCAAAATTGAAGTCGGAAAATGAAAAATGGAAGAACAGCTTAATATTTTTTCTTTCTTTAATATTTAATTTTTATAATAAAATTTTTTTTAATATCTACTTTATAATAATAATAAAAAAATATTTTTTACTATTCTAATATTTAATACTAAAACTTTTTCGCAAAATAGCGTATTGCCACCCTGAAAAATTGGCGTGCTGGCTGTTCGGTTCACCCAGCAAATCGTGCTGGCTGTTCGATTTCGAAAATTCTCTCACTCCGTGCTGTGCACAACAACAATTGCACGGTGATTGCCGATCGAAATTGGTGGCGTAACCACGGCCTATTAAGATATTTGCAAATAAAAACAATTTGCGGTGTTCACAGTTCGTTCAACATTGTGTCTCAAATTTAGACGTCTATATAAAATTGGAAAACGACGCCGTCAACGTTTTGTCATACTCAAAGGTATGTCTTTTAAGCAACCTCGTAACAGGGTTGCATTTAGTCTGTTCCAATAGCAGTCCGGTTTACAGGATTTAGTCAGAACTTACAGGAAGTCGTCCCTATTGACATAAAACCTGTAAGTGGGAACACTTTTGAGAGAGAGTAACTGAGTAACTGTTCCTAGTCAGAAGTTACAGGATTGAGTTCGGAGTTTTTTTTCCTGTAAGTTCATGAAAAGTGTCAAACGATCAGCTGATTTGCATGTGCAAACAAAAATAGAAAGCGGTGAAAGCAAAGAACCTTATATTTGTAAATAAATGGTAGTAAACAACGAAATATTTGAATATGTTAGTGATATTTCAGCCAAATCAGTGTTGTACAAATGACATGTAAACAAACCAACTGACGTTTTTACAGGAAATAGTGCTTTTGGCGTTCCTATGCACTTCTGCATCTGTTCTCCTTTTACTCTCATTTGAGAGCGTAAAATTGCAGTTTGACAGTTCCACAGGTTTTAGTCCGAAGTTCAAAGGAACAGACTAATTATTACACAAATCGTATTTTTTATTGGAGATAGAGATGACAAAAAAAATCGATTAATTAACCATATGATTAATCACAATAAAAAAAAATTGCAATTAATTGCATATTACATAGGCATTTTTTACAGCCAGTATTTAAAAACATTTTTTCATAAACAATTTCTTATTATTCTGTTAATTAGCCTTAAATAAAATAAAACGAGTATTTTTAGCCCCGAGAATTATTTATTATTTAACCATGGCGGCCGCTGTAGTGGCAAGCAGTGCGCGCTTCCACTCCGCACTGCCTGGGTTTCAGCCCTGGTCAAAGAAATATCGCAAAAATATGTAGAAAAAAGGCTTTCTTCTTAACAGTAAAGAACGTAAATCTATAACACAGTATATACAGTAATAAACCTTTTTGAGTACTCCTCGGTGGTAAAATCTGATCAGGGTTGATAATGAGAAGGATCATGAATTTTGTTGATTCAGAGTTGTATACAAAATTATTCTGGTATGAAAGGAAACTTAAATATATTCGGAAATTTAGAATTTGGCTTGATAAACTTACAAAATTTACGGTTTTCATAAATAATTTAATCTTACAATGGACTTTTTTTTATTTTAAACTTACATTTAAGAAAACTCCATTCAATGCTATAATTACGATTTAAGTTTTCTTGGTGCAATCGCGACAGAGAAATGCCAAAACTCATATAAAAATATGTAAACAATGCAGAAAATTGTGTTAATTTTAATGTTACATGACCCATTTTTGCAAGAATCAATAAATATACAAAGGTTGATTAATTAGGAACACGTAGCAATAATTTTGGACATGTAGCCCTTTAGATAAGTACGATTTTTAGCACATGAAAAAATGTATGTATTAACAGTGTTTGCAGTTTCACATAGACCAAAAGGAAGGTGTGCAGCAAAGTGAATTTTAGGACTTGCCATTTTAAAAAGACATGCAGAGTGCATATTTATATTTGTGGACGGTAGCCAACCACCATTAACTCCACAGCTTTTATTTGATGACTTTTGTACCATTTCCGAGTGGATGCATGAGTGTGGCTTTTTTGGAAGCAAATATTCTATGTCAGTAAAATACAATTTAAGCTGAACTTTTAAATGTAAAATAATTTGGGCACTGTTTTGTATTAGGTACGTAACAGCGCGGTAAGATGCCGCTTGAATTAGCGCCTGGCGGCCTTATTCACTGGTGCATTACCTCATACCAGCACTAAAAGAATCAGGTACTAACAAAAATAAGTAGGTAGTGAAGTTCATGTATCTATTTACTGTAGAAACTGCTTTTGTATGTATGCCATTGCCAGCAAAATAAACCAGCAACTGTCTACATTCACCATGTAAATATACCTACTACAATTCACCAAGGAAAGGCCAACATAGTTCCATGTAGAAGCTCATAGTTCACACACATAGCACAAAGCTCGATTTGGTGTTTAATGCATGTCCTCCCTGGCAGAACTGCTTCCACTTTTGCGCCAGGTTTGCGTCCGTAGGAAACGAAAAAAAAAAAACTTATATACGCTTTCCTTTTGTTTTCACTATTACACTTTGCCACGGCACAATTCATTTTGCTTTTTAATGTCTCAATAATTGATTAAAACCACGCAGAAATATTAACGCACAAATATTAAAATTGTTATTTGGTTTTTTCGTATGCTCACATTCAACAATTGCACCAAGATGACGTCACGCACACAGCTCATTCTGTCAAAATCACAAAGAGCGGATTAGCGGTACCGCGATTGGCGCAATCTCTATTTCTCTCAATCGTGCATTTAAACATGACCAATAAAAAATTATATCTATGGTCAGACTCAGAGATCGTCTTAGCTTGGTTAGAAAAACCACCCCACTCATGGAAAACATATGTTTCCAACCGCACAGCCCAAATACTTGATTTAGTTGGGCCAGCAACTTGGAGACATGTAGCCAGTGCTGATAACCCCGCCGATCTTGGCACAAGAGGTTGCAAACCCCTGTACCCCGCCACCACCTCACTCTGGTGGAACGGCCCCAGCTGGCTAATAGAATCACAACAATTCTGGCCACAATCTCCCATACGCAACATAATTGCCCCAGAAAGTCGAAAAGTTGAAACCTTTCACACAATATTGGATGACACTGACATCCTTGAACGATTTTCCTCGTTCCCCCGTGCCCTAAGGGTAGTCGCCTATATGTTCAAATTCGTCGAGCGCCTCAAAAATAAGGTGAAGAAAACACCGAATTCCCCAGATAACAGGTTAACGCATCAAGACCTACAAAAGGCAAAGGTTTCCCTTGTTGCATATACTCTAACGCGCTATTTCAGCCGCGAAATGTTAATGCTAAGAGAATCAAAACCAATTGACCAAATATTCAAATCTTAGTACTCAATCCATTTTTAGACACGAAAGGTCTGCTTCGTGCTAATGGACGGCTAGCGAACTCCAGCCTCACATATAACGAACGCCACCCCATAATAATACCAGAGAAATCCCCCTTTGCAACACTATACCTCAGATTTCTCCACTTATTAATGCTACATGCCGAACATCGCCTCATGCAACAAATGGTCCGACAAGAATATTATATTCCACGACTAAAGCCACAGATCAAAAAATGCATATTTATGTGCAAAGTCTGCACTATACATAAGCAGAAGATGCGCACGCAGATCATGGCAGCTCTTCCACCTGAACGCTGCACTTTCGCTCTGCCCTTCACTACCACTGGTGTTGACTTTGCTGGGCCTTTCCAGATAAAGGCTTCCATGTTAAGGACTTCAACCTTTACGAAGGGTTATGTGGCTGGCTTTGTATGCTTTACGACAAAGGCAGTACACCCCGAGCTATGTTCTGATCTGACAACTGCGGCTTTTCTCGCGGCATTTGCTCGCTACGTCGGACGGCGAGGACTTCCATTCAAAATAATGAGCGACAATGGAAAAACCTTTGTCGGAGCCAAAAGAGCCACTGAAAAACAATTTATAAAATTTATAGAGGAAGTCTCGCCTGAAATCGTTAAAATATACGCA